TTAGAAAAGAATTTATTCAGAGAGACCAACACAGAGGAGAGATTATCTGGATAATCTCTGCAGTACTGAACAAGATACAAAGTTTATATGAGGGAAAAACCAAGGGCAAATTATCAAGGAGACTTTGGCAAGATTACAGGGATCCCAAGCAGATGTGATAGGATCAGAGGACAATGGAGGGCAGTTCCCCTTCCTGCAGGCAGGGCAGGGTCCTTGACTGGTGTCTGCAAAGGAGCTGAAAGATAAGCAATGATTAGCAAAGGCAGCAGAGGCAAATGGAGTAAATTCAGACCACCCTCAGATTTCTAGATTAGAAGTTAGGTGTGACTTCTTAATGTCTGAACTGCTTCTCAAGCAGTCACATGGGAGGGGGCCAATGACATCTTTTCCTTCCCTGTTTTCATAGCCAGGTATCTGTAAAGGCCCAGGAAGGTTATGCATTATTAAGTATTAGGCTCAATCTACTGTGAGGGATGTTTCTGCAAGACTGTGATGAAGTGAAAGATAGATGTTAATGACTAATTTTTCTAGGTTTTATTCTATTAAAGTGGAATCTAAGACTACACTATAGTCACTTTTGATTTCTTATGATTTGGTTACGTTATGCCAAAGCCATATTGCTGAGTTCTAGGTTCATGTCACAAGGTCTCTCTGTACAGAGAGGATCCTGGGTGATTCAATCTGCGGGGTGAATCATAGCATGAGGACCCTGTTGGAGGGGGCTTCTCTTTCTCTCAAGAGGGAACCAGCAGTTAGCGTAATGGCTATGTCCCTGGATTCCCACGTAGTAGACCGCGGTTCGCGTCCCGGACCTGGTGGCTTGAAACACGCCGGGCGCGTGTGTGTGCGTGCCCAAGATCCCGAGAGGAGAATGGAGGGGACGGGATAGTGGCGTGACCATCCCCCTGGGGGGTGATTTCTCACTTTCTGTCTCTATGTCTCTCTCTGTCTGTCTGGCGAGCACATGTGCCCTATAGCGAAAATCTCTCCAAAAAGAAAAAAAAAAAAAGAAATAAGAAATAAGCTCTCTCTCTCATTTTATTTATATTTTTGGGAGGGGCGCGATGATTTATCCATGCATAGTTCTAGGAGTGAGAAATGTTCTTGGTCTTTGGAGTCAACCGGTTTCATCCTGATAGTATTTGGCAATTGTTTAATGGATAGCAGCTTATTTCAAAATTGAATTTAGGGCTGGCCCCTAAACACAGATGTTAAGCACTATGCATGGAGAGCTGGCCTGCCCTTGGAATGCTTGCCCTCAGGCGAGTGTGAGTGCATGCCCCAAATCCTGATGCCATAGAAAAGTGGAGGAAAAAGGACCCTGTATTTTCACATCCCATTGTGCGTGAGGTGGGGAAAAAGAGTGTGCTTTCCCTTTCTCCTTATGCCCTCTGGCAATAAAAAAAACTTAAAAAGCAAGCAAGCAAGAAAAAGAAAACCTTCAAATGAAATAATAAAAGCCCTTGTTTAAATTCCAAGCTTAGCAAGCAACTTTAGCAAATGACTGTGAGTGACTGAATAACTAGCTATTATATTTTTTTATTGGAGATCGATACACTGTAATTCTTATTTATAAATCACTTTAAAAATGATAATAGACAAGAATTTAAAAAAAAAGTAAGACCTATCTATATGGCAATTCCAGCTGTTTTCAAATTAAAACGCTTGATCATAGAAAAAAATATTAAGTATTTTAAGGACAATTGAGGAAATATGAATATAAAGTTTATATTAGATAATGTTGGGAAATTGTGGCTTTGTTAGGCATAATAGTGATACTGTGATTATGTTGGAGCATGTTCTTATTCTTGGGAGTAACATACTGAATATTTCTGGGTAAATTATCATAATTTATCATTTACTTTCAAACAACAAAAAAATCTGATTGATGTATTTGTATTGACCATACTAGTCTTTAAAATTCTCCATGTTTGAAAATTTTCATGAATAATTGGAAAAATTCTAAGCCTTCAAAACAAAAAATTTAGAAGATCACAAGAAAAATTTGTAGTCAGTATTTAAGATGTGAGTTTTTTAAAAAAGAATTATTTCATTTAGCTTTATTTATTTATATTTATTTTAATTTGACCAGAAAGGGACAGAGTGAGAGAGTGAGAGTGAGGAGGGAAGGCGAGCCACCAGGTCCAGGACTTGAACCATGGTCGGTTGGCCACGTGCATGAGTCCAATGCCCTTAACTATAATGTCACCTGCCAGCCCCAAAGATGTGAGATTTTTAATGTAGCACTTTGTCTTTGTTTAGAAAAGGAATTATGGGGCCATTTGGTGGTGTGGTAGTTAAGGTGGCTAGATCCCCCATTGGCAACTGTGCTGTTCGATTCCCGACCCAGTGGCTTAAAAAATAAGCCCAAAAATCCCAAAAGGAGAATTGAAAGAGAAAGGATTGCAGTATGGCCATTTTTCACTTTTCTTTTCTTTCTGTATCTCTCAGGCAAGCATATGTGGCCTCTACCAAATTAAAAAATCATAATAATTTTAAAATATCTTATCTGATTGAATATGTAAATTTATAAAATTAGTTTCTGTATAATACTCTATATGTCATGCTTTGAAACTTGACATGTTATATATATATATATACACATACATATATGTATTTGGAGATGTTTTTGCTATAGGGTGCATGCGCTCACCAGAAAGATAGAGTCAGAGAGACAGAGAGCAAGCAATCACCTCCCAGGGGGGATGGCCATGCTGTAATCCCTTCTCCTCCATTCTCCTCTTGGGATTTTTTTTTTTCTTTTGAAGAGGTATTTGCTTATTTTCCCTTTTTTTTTTTTTTTTTTGAGGCTCTTTGAGTTTTAGTCATTTGGTAATATACTCATCTTTTTCTATTTCTATGTAGTATGTTTCTGTAACTGTGTATTCGTGCCCTTCCATTTAATGTGCACTAGCGCTGTGCCAGTTTCCTTCCTCTACTATGAATGGAAGTGTGGTATCCACAGTAGGAGTTTTGGGTTTAGTTTTCAGAGGGGAGTTTCTTTCCTTTTTACTGCTGGAGAGCTGGGTGTGGGGGGTGTGAGTTTAAGTCACTAGGTCCAGGACTTGAATCGCGGTCCACTCCATGGGAGTCCATCTGCTGGTCCCAACAGGTAATGTATTCTAAAATAAAGTTTTAACATTTAGAAGTCTTTTGATAGAAACTTTAACTTTTATTTAATTTATTTTTATTTAATTTTATTTCCAACTATTTTTTTCACATATAAATTGCTGTTATGTTTAGGTTATTTTAAATTATTTGTTTAAATTTTATTTGTTATTATTATTATTATTTAATTTGACCAGAGAGACACGGAGAGAAAGGGAAGTGAGAAAGCGAGCTACCAGGTCCATTGCCTTCGATGTGAAGAGTACAACACCTTAACCACCACGCTGTCTGCCGGCCCAAATGTTTAGGTTATTTTAAAGTAAAATTTAAAACCAGCATTTTATCTAGCTATAATTATTTCCAGTAGATTTGATCAGAAAACAACACTCTCAAATTTATAATTTCCACCAAAGTCACCTTTCTCAAGTGGCTATGAAGTATCCCTTTGAAAGAATATTATTTGGGGTAAAGCTGAAGTGTGTGACGGAATTATCTGAACTATTTTCAGTTCAAAAATAAAAACTGAAAATTACACACATACAATGCTGTACAAATAATTGTGAATTTTTCAAACCTAGAGGGTATTAAAAAATGCAGTGAAGAAAAATATGAGCAGCAAGAAGAGGATTTTGCAATTCACTTACATATATCCATGAAACTTAATGGCTTTTTTTTGTTGTTGTTAGATTTTTGCTATAGGGTGCATGCACTGGGAGTTGGGGAGGACAGAGAGACAGAAAGAGAAATCACCCTCAGGGGCGACAGCCAGGTAGCAATTCCTTCTCCTCCATTCTCCTCTATGGATTTTGGGCACACAAGCACACACCCGGAACAGGTAGGCCATGTGGGAATCCAGGGACATAACCATTAGGCCATCTGCTGGTCCCTTGTGTTTATTCTTTAAAGGAAAGACACTGAGACGCTGATAAAATGAGCGTCAGTGATAGAGGTTGCTACCGTTTTTCAAACAATTCTGACCAGTATAGGACAAAGCAGCCCTTCCTAGTCTTATCCTTCCATTTCCGCTGCCCTCCCTCTACTAACTTGGGGAATGGCTGCCACTAGAGGCTGGTCCTTTGATTCTTAGTGGGGACGGGAGTGCGGGGGGAGGTTCCCCGGCACCTGTTTCATTTGGGGACCTTCCAGTCGGATCTTTCCAGGCCTGTGCCCAACACTTAACCAATACAAATATTCTTCGGGTGACTTTTTGTAAAAGAACAAAATGTTGGGAAGCAGGAGTGAACCACCTATATTGGCTGATGATTTCTTTTCCAGAAAACAGGCCCAACTTCTGGGTGAATTGGAGAAAATACACCATTTCTATATTTGAATGTGGCTGAAGCCCTTTAATCACTGACATCACTTCTTTGGATCTTGAATAGTCTTCGTGCCCTTCACCTTAGGCATCTCTTCAAACTCCTGAGTCACGCTCTGTTTATGTTGTCGTTCTAGAAGCAAATTGCTGCACCGACCCAAACAAAATGACGCCAGCGGAGAGGCGGTGGCCGGAGGAAGCCAGTCAGCACTGGAGGCCACCAGCGGGTGCAACTGAACAGGCTCAGGGCACAACGTAAGCACGGGACCTTTCCGCCGCAACTGGAGGGATCCCAGGAACACGGCCCCCTCTCCCCAAGACTTCAGACCCCAGCAGGCGGAAAAGGCAGGATTTTTGTCCTTTGTATTCGTTTGGGGGCCCAACTAAAAAACAGCAAAGGAGAGGGAAGGAGACCTTTTAAAATTGTGCGGGAGGTCTTAAACCATTCTCAGTGTTACAGTCACAATAAAATAACGAGCACAAAATTCTCACATCCCCAGTGGAATCTGTTCAGGTAAAGTTTAGCCAGAAAGACAATATACCGACAGAGACGACGTTTCTGTCTAGCCCCATCCCGCGGGGCGGGGCTCTGTGATGTCACCGTCCCCACGCTGCGCTGCTGTTTTTGTGTCCCCAGCTCCTGGAAAAGCCTCCGGGATCTCTCCACCTGGCCATCCCCTAGATCCAAGCCAGGGCACACCAGATCCTTCCGGAGCGTGTGGCCGAGCAGTGTCGCGAAGGGAGCTGACATTGCTGAAGCGACTCCTAACGAAGTGAAATTGGCAGAAGGCAGCCGGACGCGAGAGCCCAATCTTCAGCGAGCGAGGCCGGCCCCGCGCGGGGGTCACAGAAGCCCTGCGGTCCATCATGAAGTTCCAGTACAAGGAAGACCACCCCTTTGAGTATCGGAAAAAGGAAGGAGAAAAGATCCGGAAGAAATACCCGGACAGGGTCCCTGTGAGTGTAGTGGGAGCGGGGAGCAGGCGGGGAAGGGGCGCCGCGGGGCGCGGTGGCGTTGCGCTGGCTGCCCTGGGTTTGCACCCGAGGCTCCCGGGCAGCCAGGGCCTCGGCATTACTTAACCCTGGACGCCCTTCACTTTCCCGAGAGCCCGGGGACGTTCTGACTGCGGCCCTTTTGAAACCCCGGTCCCCAGGGCTGTGCCCACCTTTAGGGCCGACAGCCTCCTTGGAGCAGGGAGTGACTCAGCAAGTATGGAGCCCCCGTGTGGGTTCGGATGAGCACGAACAGAGCCGGTTTCTGCGGCAGCTGTTAGGCCATTGGGGGTGGGGGGGTAGGTCTGCTGCCTTTAAGAACGCAGGGAAGTCGCTATGGGAGCAGCAGATGCCATAAGGTTTGTCCCCATTGATTTCTGCCTAAGATGGTTCTCCTTTAACCGAGTTGATTCTGGCCTTCCGGTGCTTGGGTCTGGGAGGAAAAGCTTCAGAAGCAAGTAGATCCTATTCTTGTGTTCTCCCATAATTAGGGAGCTGGGGGTGGGGGGACGCCACGAGACAGGCCTGGTCCAGAAAACAAGGTCACGTTCTCTGCGCAGCAGCCGCTTGCCTCATCGTTCTTGGCTGGGGCGGCGAGTGCGTGGACCGCCCGCCCTCACTGCCCAGATCGTGATCAGGTGGTTTCCCGACACAGCAAGGCCTGGACGGAAGCCTTTTTCTCTGACTCGGACCCGGGTTTAGGTAGTTTAAGCTACTGCGGGCCTGTGAGCAGCAGCGGTGAAGATTAAGGTATCTTTCATCCGGGTTTTTCCGATTCCCCTCCCCCGCCCACTTGCCCCTTTTCTGTACTGAAGACTGCGCAGCCGAATTGGGAGGCCCAGAGCGACTGCCAAGCACGGCGGAGGGGACAGGAGCTGTTGGATTTGGAGACAACGAGTACAGACTTTATGGTTGTGCTCTTTATCTTCAGGCAGGGACGTTGGAATGAGTAATATATGTAACTTGAAGGTAAAATGATTGCAATTCTCTGATGAGTTCACTCGACCTGCAGGCGCTCTGGGATTCTCCAATTCATACTTAACTCGCGGTCTTTCAGCTACCAGAAGCGACCTGGGCCTCAGCTCAGCGATAGCACACCTTTGCACCCCTCTACCCCTTTTCCTGTAAGAAAGAGGCAACATTAGCGCACTTCTATTCCCAGAAATCACACACAAAGAGTTTCAGAATCCTTATCTAATAAAGGATCCCTTGGGACCAACAGTTGGCGTGATGGCTATGTGGCTGGACTCCCACGTAGCCGACTGCAGTTCAAGTCCCGGCTCGGTTCACGCTGGTCGCGTGCGTGTCCAAGATCCCGAGAGGAGGATGGAGGAGAAGGGACTGCTGCGTGGCCATCCCCCCTGGTGTGTGTGGGGGGGTGATTTCTCGCTTTCTGTCTCTGTCTCTCCGGTGAGCACATAGCAAAAACCTCTCAAAAAAAAGAATAAATAAAAATAATAAAGGATCCCTCACCTATTACTTCCTCGTCTCAGGACCTTGGGTGACTACTTTAAGTGTCCCTAATTCTGGTGATACCGCTCTCACTCACGAGTAGTAATATTTAAAATTGACAGCCTTTATTGACAGCTTAACATGTACTTGCCATGTTCAAAATACTCTTGTGCCCATTCATTCCCTTAATCCTCACACTGTTGTCACTGGCTGGACTCCCACGTAGCCGACTGCAGTTCAAGTCCCGGCTCGGTTCACGCTGGTCGCGTGCGTGTCCAAGATCCCGAGAGGAGGATGGAGGAGAAGGGACTGCTGCGTGGCCATCCCCCCTGGTGTGTGTGGGGGGGTGATTTCTCGCTTTCTGTCTCTGTCTCTCCGGTGAGCACATAGCAAAAACCTCTCAAAAAAAAGAATAAATAAAAATAATAAAGGATCCCTCACCTATTACTTCCTCGTCTCAGGACCTTGGGTGACTACTTTAAGTGTCCCTAATTCTGGTGATACCGCTCTCACTCACGAGTAGTAATATTTAAAATTGACAGCCTTTATTGACAGCTTAACATGTACTTGCCATGTTCAAAATACTCTTGTGCCCATTCATTCCCTTAATCCTCACACTGTTGTCACCCCCGCTGTGCAGATGAAGAATCTGAAGTATGGAGAAATGAAGTAACTGTGAGGTTTCACACTGAGGGCTGGGAGGACAGTCCAGCTCCCTCTGCTGGGCTGTAGAGCTGTGAGCCCCTTACCCCATGCCATGCTGCTCGTCAATTTCCAGCACACTCGCACGAGCCAGAATTAAGTGTGCGCAGTGTGCCTCACACCGTTGAGTGCTGGAAATAGATGAACTGTTGCTGTCCTCCAGATTTCACTAGATTGGTGCCAGGAAAATAACTACCATTTCAGAACCCACTAAAGTACGGGGCTCTATTCCAGCAGCTTTAGGTAAGTCACAAACTCTGAGATGTACCTATTTGTTAATCTAGGTAAAATTTCTGCAAATCTTCTGGAACCCAGCCTTTCCTATTTCAGTCACTGATCTTAGAATACCCAGAATATTTCAGTTAATCGTCTCTGTTCTTTTTCTGCTTATTGTTTAGGGTATGTTTTACTTTTACAATAATTTGTAAGCTGTTAAGACCACCACTCCAACTTCCTGGTTCCTCCAGTTATTTCATTTATTATTATTTTAGTTTTTCAAAATTATTTTATTTAACTTTATTTATTTATTGTAATTTGACCAGAAAGGGACAGAGAGAGAGAGAGGGAAAGTGAGAAAGCAAAGCCGCCAGGTCCGGGACTTGAACCACGGTCAGCCATGTGTGAGTCTGCCAGCCCCTTTCTAGTTATGTTTTAACCAGTGGTGAACCTCTCAGCTGCTGGCAAGGTGCTCAGCCTTTGACGGTCTTTGTAGTTGTGATGCAGGAAGAAGCACTAACTATTGTGTTGTCAGAAAAGTCAGGACACATTTTTTTTTTCTTTTTTTGGAGAGGTTTTTGCTATTGGGCGCGTGCACTCGCCAGACAGTCAGAGACAGAGAGATAGAAAGCGAGAAATCACCCCCCCAGGGGGGATGGCCATGCCTCAATCCCTTCTCCTCCATTCTCCTCTTGGGATCTTGGGCACGCACGCACACACGCCCGGCGTGAGTTTTAAGCCACCGGGTCCAGGACTCAAACCGTGGTCGACTACATGGGAGTTCAGCGACACAGCCATTATGTCAACTGCTGGTTCCCATAAGTGATTTCTAAGGTTCCTTCCAGCTTGCCTATTGGTGTTAAAGCTGTCGCATATCGTCTGTGATTGCTCGCATAGCCTGAGCTTAGATCCATCAGTATCTGCTGTCCGAAAGGAAAGGTGTGCATGTGACTCACCGGAGAGACTCTGGGATCTTGAAATGATCTTGAAGCTGCAACCTTAGTAGAACCACTGGGAACAGACTGGTTTTAAAATTTGTAAGCAGCCTTATGTAATATTAGCCACATTTCACAGGTGAGGAACTGAGACCCAAAGGAGCCGAGCATCTGGGCCAGGGCTGGCTTTTAGTGAAAAGCAGAGCTGGGATTCTACAAACCTAATTTCTAGTAAACCAAGGTTTTATGATTAGGCCTTCCCTGTGTTCCTCCCCAGGCCCCTCCCTGCTCTCCAGCTGTCCTACCGCAGTCTGCTTTCTGGCCCTCCCTCTGCCCCCTGCCTTGGTGGTTCCCATCCCTTATTGGTAGGTCCTGCAAGGTTTCTGAATTTCTGAAAAGTTGGTGCTAGGCCCCTTCATTTTTATGCCCTGGTTTACTTTGGTCTTATGATCTGTGCTGTGTCTGTATCCTCATCATTGGGCCTTCCCTGACCTCTAACTAAAAGTTTTTCTACTTTTTCCTTTTAATTTTTAACTCCCTTCTCTCTCTTACAGGTTTTTGTTTTTGTTTTGTTTTGAGAGATTTTTGCTATAGGGCACATGCGCTCAAAACAGCGACAGGAAATGAGAAATCACCCCCCGGGGTTGGGGTGGCCATACCACAATCCCTTCTCTTCCATTTTCCTCTCGGGATCTTGCATCCATGCAAACATGCCCAGTGTGAGTTTTAAGTCACCAGGTCCAGGACTTGAACCCCTGTCAACAATATGGGAGTCCAAAGACGGAAACATGTTGCCATCTGCTGGTCCTCTCTTATACAGCTTTTACTTTTAAATTTAGAAGTGTAATCATATCCTATTGGTCTTCCTAGCCAGGATTGTTTTTCTCTGTAAAAAAAAAAAAAGGAAAAAAAATTTAAATAATTTTGATCTCTTGGGACCAGTAGATGGCATAATAGTTATATCACTGGACTCCTGCTAGTCTACTCTGGTTCAAGTCCCAGACCACACCAGGCACATATGTGTGCATTCCCCAAACCCCAAGAGAATGGAGGAGAAGGGATTGTGGTGTGGTCACCACTTTTTGGGGGGTGATTTCTCACTTTTTTATCTGTCTCTCCAGTGAGCACACATGCCCTATAGCAGAAATCTCTCTTAAAAAAATAAATTAAAAATAAATAAATAAATAAATAATTTTGATGTCCCTTTATAAGCTTCCACCCCCTTCCTCCAAGCTAATTCTTATATATTCAGATAGTTCTTTATAATTTATGTAAAATTTTCATATAACATTTTATGTGTCATTCGACCTCGCCCCATCATTACTACTCAGACTTTGTAAAGATATATTGGGAACTTAACTTTCTTTTACTCGTTGCAATATTAAAACTCAGGGAATTGAAGTGGCCTGTTGGAGCTTACACACCTGTCGCTTCTCAGCCTTTTGGCTAGGATCAAGTGAAGCTTACACACCTAAGAGATACTTGTTCGGTGTTCATTTCTGCCTATGCACCGTAACTTTCTACACTTCCTAGATTGTCTATTATAGAATTGAGAGAGATTTTTTCCTATGGGGCATGTGCACTCGTCAGAGAGACAGTGAGAAATCACCCCCCGGGGAGGGGTGGTGGTCACACCGCAATCCCTTCTCTTGCATTCTCCTCTCAGGATTTTGGGCATGCGTGCACACGCACCCACCCAGTGTGAGTTTAAAGTCATCAGGTCTAGGACTTGAACTGCGGTTGAGTATGTGGGAGTCCAGTGACATACCATTATGTCATCTGCTGGTCCTATAGAAGGATTATATTTTTAAACTAAAAGTCTAAAACTCAAGGTTTTACAATAAATAGATATTTTATAAGTTTATGTGCATATAACATCTTTTAAAATTTACGTATTTTTATTTTTTTCTCTTTATTACAGAAATACGTGAACTGTTTTTAAAGAATGACTTAATTTAATTAATTATTATTATTTTTAATTTTTTATTTTTGGAAAGTTTTTTGCTATAGGGTGTGTGTGCTCACCAGAAAGACAGACAGAAAGCGAGAAATCACCCCCCGGGGGGATGGCCACTCCGCAATCTCTTCTCCATTCTCCTCTCGGGATGTTGGGCACACATGCACACGCGCCTGGCTTGAGTTTAAGCCGCCAGGTCTTGGACTCGAACCACAGTCAACTACATGGAAGTCCAGTGACATAGCCATTATGCCAACTGCTGATCCCTATTATTATTCGTTTTAATTTGCTATAGGGCACATGTGCTCACCAGACAGAAAGTGAGAAAGCAACCCGTCAGGTCCAAGATTAAAATCGCAGTCTGCCCTGTGGGAGTTCAAAGCCTTAATCACTTTGCCACCCACGGATTCCTGAAGACTTCTTTTTTTTGGGGGAGGGAGAGGTTTTGCGTTTGCCACAAAGTGAGAAATCACCCCCCAGGGGGTATGGCCATGCTGCAATCCCTTCTCCATTCTCCTCTTGGAATCTTAGGCATACACACATATGCACTTGGCTTGAGTTCAAGCCACCAAGTCTGGGACTTGAACCACAATCGACTACATGGGACTCCAGTGATGTTGCCATTACGCCATCTGCTGGTCTCATCCTGTAAACTATTTTTTAAGATTTTTTTGTGTGTGTTTGCTACAGGGCACGTGTGCTCACCAGAGAGAGACAGAGAGACGGACAGACAGGGAGGAAAAGTGAGAAATCACCTCCCAGAAAAGATAGCCATGTTGAGTCCTTTCTCCCCATTCTCTCGGGATTTTTGGCATGTACACACATGCCTAGTGTATTTTTCAAGACACTAGGTTCTGAACTTGAACCACTCAGTTGGACATATGTGATCCTGCCAACACCTAAGGTAATTTTTTTTTTTAAGTTTCTAAGTTTATGTATTCTTTTTTATTAAATGAATTATTTTATATAACTTTATATATTTATCTTTAAATTTGACCAGAGAGAGATAGAGTGAGAGAGCAAGAGAGAGGGAAAGTGAGAAACCAAGCTGCCAGGTCCAGGACTTGAACCACAGTAGGCCAAGTGGGAGTCCAGGGCCCTTAGCCACCACACCACCTGCGGCCCTCATAAGTTTATATATTCTGATAAAGAGACAAGGAGTGAGAGATCGGCATCCTTAATGAGGTCCCTACACCACGATCCACCCTCAGCCTCCGCTGGCCTTGATCACAGGCACAGATTTGTGTGTCTGACATGTAGAATGAGGCCCTGTGACACAAAATAGGGACATTTTTGTGAAGGTCCAATTGTGTTACCACCATGCCATCTCTCACCCCAAATATGCAATCTTTATAAATTTAAGTGTTGAGCTAGCAGGTGGCATGGTAGTTAAGGATGCTGGACTCCCACGTGGCTGACTGCAGTTTAAGTTTTGAACCTGGTAGTTTACTTTTTTTCTCTCTCACTCTCACTCTGTTCCTCTCTGATCAAATTAAAAATAAAGTTAAAATAATTCTTTAAAAAATAAATTTAAGCATTACAGAAATACTTAGTGTAGATTTTGAAAACCCCTTCAAATTCTAACCATCAATATTGACAAATGAGTTATTGTACCAACACTATATTAGAATAGCATTCATAAGAACTATTTTAGTACTTTTTTCATTTCATAGTCTTGATTATATTTTTGCAGTCATTTTTGAACATTTTAGAAAAGTATAAAATTTAGACCTAGGTGGTCAGGACTATCTGAGAAAATCTAGAGTGTCTCAATGCCCTAAGTCCATTCCAGAAAGCATGTTCTGAAGTATACTTTACAGGTACTTTGTAATTCCTTCAAATCAAGATTCTTTTTACTTCTTTGCTTTTTATTATGTGCCCAGTCCATCCTGTTGTATTTCAGCAATACAACTATAACCTCACCAAGAAAGCTTGTTTTCTTTATGTCTTTCTTTCTTTTCTTCTTTTTTTTTTGGGAGAAGTTTTTGCTATAGAGTGCGTCCACTTGCCAGAAAGAGAGAGACAGAGAGACAGAAAGCGAGAAATCACTTCCCAGAGGGGGTGGCTACGCTGCAATCCCTTCTCCTCCATTCTCCTCTTGGGATCTTGGGCATGCACGCACACACGCCTGGCGTGAGTTTAAGCCACCAGGTCCGGGACTCGCACTGTGGTTGACTACATGGAAATCCAGTAATGACAGACCACGCACGCCAGCCATTATGCCAACTGCTAGTCCCTCTTTCTTTTCTTTCTTTTTTTAGAGAGATTTTTGCTATGCACTTGCCAGACAGAGAGAGAAAGAGAAACAGTAAGTGAGAAATCCATCCTTGGGTGGAAAGGGGATGTCCACACCTTATCTTCCATTCTCCTCTTGGGATCTTGGGCACACATGCACATGGTGCTCAGCGTGAGTTTTAAGTTGACAGATCCGGGACTCGAAACATAGTCGTCTACATGGGAATCCAGCAATGTAACTTACACCATCTGCTGGTTCCGAAAGCTCATTTTCTTACATATTTTATAAAAGGTACAGAGATAAAAAAAATTGGACCAGCCCGTGGCATGGCAATTATGGCAGCTAGATCCCCACACAGCCAACCACATGGTTTGAGTCCTGGACCCAGTGTTTTTTTTTTTTTTTTTTTTGGAGAGGTTTTCGCTATAGGGCGTGTGTGCTCGCCAGACAGACAGAGACAGAGAGACAAAGCGAGAAATCACCCCCCAGGGGGGATGGCCATGTCACAATCCCTTCTCCTCCATTCTCCTCTCGGGATCTTGGGCATGCACGCACACGCACCTGTCATGAGTTTTAAGCCACTGGGTCCGGGACGTGAACTGCAGTCGACTACGTGGGAGTCCAGCGACATAGCCATTACGTTAACTGCTGGTTCCCATGTTTAACAATCGTTAATTCAAATGCAAAAGTTCAATATAAGCCATCTATAGGGCTTGGGATATGTTCTTAATTTTAAAAACAAGAATGGGGAAATGCAACAAGGTGATCTTTCCACTTTTCAAAAACGTTCAAGGGATAGATCATAATAGGGCCATAAGAGATCCATTTAACCAGACCCACTTTCTCCCCTACCAATAGTCTTAACACAGCTGTTTTTGTTTTCTAACAGGACAACTGTAGGATGTAGAAGGGAAAATGCTAAATTGGATTCCGTAGTTTTCATTTCCATTCTCTTCTCCTCTAGGTGATTGTGGAGAAGGCTCCCAAAGCCAGAGTGCCCGATCTGGACAAGAGGAAGTACCTAGTGCCCTCTGACCTCACGGGTAATTCTTTTCCCTCCCTTGTGCCTTCCTCCAGTGGCAAAGCATTTTCTTGGTCCTTATTATATGCATGACATTGTGAGGTTGAAAGTACAGAGGTGAAGGAAGTGAGAGGATTTCTCCAGAGAGTTTTGATTAAAAAAAACACAAATAGTTTCTCCTCTACAGTGTGTTTGAATTAGGCACAGAAAACCACAAAACATTTAAAGAGATCAGATGCCTATTACTTAAACCACTTCTAAAATTTAGCTTTGCTAATAAAATATCAATGTGTTTGAAAAGGAATACCAGTCTAGTTTTGTAGGAGGAACACATCTGATAAATTCTCCATTAAATACTTTGTCTCCTCAAGTGAACGTTTTTTTTTTTTTTCATACGTTTTGTAGACTACCTGGAAGTATAAAGAAAATATTCAGACTTTATTTGAATTGTAAATAAAATACTCACTGCACCCAGGCTGTACTGGAAAGATTTATAATTATTTGCTCCCGAGTTAATAGATTGGAATGTCAGCCTTCTAGAAAACTTTCAGAATTCTCAGGAAAAAGTAAAGCATTACATTCCACTCCTTGCTGCAACCCTGGGGTGAGTGACCCTGCTATTACAGAGCTCACTAGACATGTTTGTGTCTTCGATTGTCTCCAGCTGGGGGTAGGGATAGCAGGGTACTTCAAGTCAGGTGTAGACAGTGGTGAGACTTTGTTTTTTTTTTTTTTTTTTTGGGGAGGAGTTTTTGCTTTACGGGCGTGGCGCTGGCCAGACAGACTGAGAGAGACAGAGAGATAGAAAGTGAGAGATCACCCCCCAGGGGGGTTGGCCACGCTGCAATCCCTTCTCCATTCTCCTCTCGGGATCTTGGGCATGCACGCACATGCACCCGGCGTGAGTTTTTAAGCCACCGGGTCCGGGACTTGAACCGCGGTTGACTACGTGGGAGTCCAGCAACATAGCCATTATGCTAACTGCTGGTCCCGACAGTGGTGAGACTCTTGATCTGCACATATGTAGTATTCCCTCAAAGTACTCCTCAGGCTTTGTGTGGATATACTAAAATTAGGTCAGAAATTGAGTAAGGGAGAAAGGATGAGTAAACCACTTTGGCACGTCAGGGTCTATGCAGGCCTCTTTGTTGTTTCAATTGTCAGAAGGCACATGTTCTCATCAGAGAGGGAGAGAAAGCATCTCCCAGTGCGGCAGGATCACACTGCAGACCTTTCTCTATTTCTCCATCCCGTTGAGAGTTTTGGCCTATATTTTACAAGTCACCGACGCTGAGATTTGAACTGCATTGTTTCTAAAGTTCTAGAAATAAGAGCTCTGCTCATGTGGTATACAGACCTGGTACCATGAGAGGAACAGATAGAATTTTTTCCTGGAACCTACACTTCTACTAATCCTTGCTCCCTTCTCTTCCCTTTCTTTTTCCTTCTTCCTTCATCCAGTTGGCCAGTTCTACTTCTTAATCCGGAAGAGGATCCACCTGAGACCTGAGGACGCCTTATTCTTCTTTGTCAACAACACTATCCCTCCCACGAGTGCTACCATGGGCCAGCTGTATGAGGTAACGTTCGTTGTCACGGCAGTACCCAGTAGGCCGACAGTCTAGCTCCAGTGTGTATTGATAACACACCCTGGAAGTGGGGCAGAAGGTGTTATTCATCAGGATCCTCTTACATATGGCAGTGTAAGGCTCCTGGGAGATTAGATAACCACTTGCCCTTTAGGGACTGAGCACTCTGCTAGATTTAATCCTTTTACAATCTCTTCTCAGTCTCACTTGGCTATCCTGTTTTAATGCCAGATCCTCTGTATTAAGGTAGCAAAAAGTGGTTCCTGGTAGCAGAAGTTCCAAAGTGTTTATCCATCTGGGTTCCAGTCACTTGTGGGTAATGGGTGATTTGTAAGTGGACTATGCATTCAGGTCCTGGCTCATTTTATTTCCATTTTGCAACAGATTGGGGAAACAAATAATACTAAAGCTCGCCTCTTCTAACTCTGCAAGTTCTCTCCAGAGACTTGAAGTTTTGGCTTAAGACAATCACATAGACCTAAATGAGGAAAGCGTTTCTTCTCAGATGAAAAGTAAAACCAAAGCACATTTCTCATTGTTTGGGCATAGAGTCAGATAAAATGAAATTTTAAATTAAGACAAAGTCTTTGAATTTGATTCATTAAAAAACATTTTTTAAATCTAACCTTATTTATTTTTATTTGGCCAGAGAGAATGAGAGAGAGAAGGAAAGTGAGAAAGCAAGCCGCCAGGTCTGGGACTCGAATTGTGGTCAGCCAGGTGGGAGTCCAGGGCCCTAAACCCCTGTGCCACCTGCCAGCCTCATGATTCATTTATCTTTTTTTTTTTTTTTTTGGAGAGGTTTTCGCTATAGGGCGTGTGTGCTTGCCAGATAGACAGAGACAGAGAGACAGAAAGTGAGAAATCACCCCCCAGGGGGGATGGTCACGCCGCAATCCCTTCTCCTCCATTCTCCTCTCAGGATCTTGGGCACGCACGCACACGCGCCCAGCGTGAGTTTTAAGCCACCGGGTCTGGGACGCGAACCGCGGTCGACTACGTGGGAATCCAGCGACATAGCCATTACACTAACTGCTGGTTCCCATGATTCATTTATCTTAGTAGGTAAATTCAGGGGGAGAATAACTTACATGATTTTATTTGGTCTAATTGAGAAACTGTCAAAATATAATGTGAGAGAATTATATTAATAACTTTATCATACTATAAATATGACCCAAGTTATTCCTGGGGTCAGCAGGTGGTCTGGAGGTTAAGGTAGCTAGTTCCCACATAGCTAACAGTACCATTTGAGTCCTGGACACGGTGTATGTGCATGTGTGCCCAAAATCCCAAGAAGAAAATGGAGGAGACAGGATTATGATGTGGCCATTGCCCCAGGGGTGATTTCTCGCTTTCCTTCCCTCTCTCGCTTGTGGACCCTATAGCAAAAACTAAAAAATAGGGACCTGGGACCAGCAGTTAGCATAATGGCTATGTCGCTGGACTCCCACGTAGTCTCCCACGGTTTGAGTCCCGGATCCGGCGGCTTAAACTCACGCCAGGCGGGTGTGTGTTCATGCCCAAGATCCTGAGAGGAGAATGGAAGAGAAGGGATTATGGCATGGCCATCCCCCCTGGGGGATGATTTCTCGCTTTCTGTCTCTGTCTCTCTGTCTGTCTGGCGAGCGCATGTGCCCTATAGCAAAAACCTCTCTAAAAAAAAAAAAAAGAAAAATAGAGGACTATATGTGTATTATTCCTTAAAGGATTTCACACAAAATGCTATTCTCTCGCTGTGCCCCATTAATAAATTACATACGTTTTTCGCAACCTCTAACCTAGCTTTTATTCCTTAGCATACAGTTCCTATTAGCAGGTCTTCCAGTATACCTACTTAGCCATGTTCCCTGCGCTAGAATGAGCTGTTTAAGGGTAAGGATTCATATCCCTGACACTTTGTATATGTTCTTCAAAAAGGTATAATTGCAGCCCTCTGTGCCTATTTATTTTTTCCTTGGGGACTAATGATTCCTTCCGTGCCTTTTTTATAAGGTTGTGTGAGGCTCAGCTTCCCAGAGCCAACGAATGTGAACTTGTTTTTAAACTGTCGTCTCCCGTCTTTTCCTAGGACAACCACGAGGAGGACTATTTTCTGTATGTGGCCTACAGTGATGAGAGTGTCTATGGGAAGTGAGTGGTGGAGCCCAGCAGACGGGAGCACCTGGACTTGGGGGTAGGGGAGGGCTGTGTGTGGGACTTGGGGTAAGCGAGGAGGAGACCGAAGGCGAAGACATCTGGAAACATTACATCGCACACACCGTCATCATCTTTTCATACGCTCAACTGATATTTCTTGCTGCTTCCTCGGCCTAGGGAGAAACGCGACGGGACATAGCTGTTGGACTGGCTTTGATGGAAGAATGGGGATAACAGAATTTCATAGCATTACTGGGAATTCATTTTTGTGCTGTGTCATAGAAGGTGGGCAAGTTGGAGCCAGAGATGATTGAAGTCCAGCAGCAAACTCCCTGCTCTCCCTTCTCTTTGGGCAGAGATTCTACTTTTTGACATTTGCACAAGACAGGTAGGGGAAGGGGACAAGATGTGTTTTAGGACTTATGCTAGTGGACCATTCTGGGGACCAAAAGAGATGCACTATAACTGAAGCCATGTGGTCCCCGATCTGCCCTATCTCCATTCCACCCCCATCCCAGGCGCAAACTCGCACGCACACGCCACAGGTACCGTCCCAGTGGTGGCGGTCGACATTGCCATTTAGATGCAGCTCTCTTACCTTTGGAAGCTAGGACGCAGGCACGAAGGTGGTCACGGTGACAAAGATAGTTTTTGATAGGATTAAACTGGAGCCGGCTGAGTGTTGAGCATCTCTGTCTAACCTGCTCTCTCTGGCATCCCTTATCCCACACCTACCTTGGCATTTCACGAGCCTCAGGCATTCTCAATTGCAGGGTAGAACCGCTCCTCCGACATTTCCCATGCACAGGGACAGAGATGTCTTACATGTGGAAGGGGCAGGAATGAGGTAAGACCAAAGTCTCCACCTGCCACTCACCCAGACTCTTGCCCCCTTGCTGCCATCCCCTCCGTCTCACATGCACAGGAAGACTAAGTGGTGGCCAGCTGCTCCCTCCTCTGGTTTTCATCCACCGCAGCTGCTAGTTAGCAAAGTTTGGAGGAACGCCTTTTAATGAATCATGGGGAGTTTATTGATTTATTTTCACTTTAGGGGTTCTGTGGGGTGGGGGTGGGTAGGAGGACTTGCACTCAGACATGACATTTCAATTCATCTCACTAATGAGAAGGGCCTTCCGGTTGGAAGAAATCTGTGTGTCAGCGCTGTCAGCTGAGGGTTCTCGTGTAATGAAATCAGTGCTGTGAGGACAAGGAAATAAATTGCGTACCTTAAAACCCAGAGTTCAGCAGCGCTACCTTTATTCAGCTGTATTGGAGTAGACAGCCTGTGGATACCTGGAACAGTAAAGTTGGCCGGGGGGGTGGCGGTGGGATGGCTGTTGACAAGGAATGTGCACGAGACCAGAAGTGCACCTGTTTACACAGCTCCGTGCCAGCCAGGAGCTGTTGTGCAAGAGTGAATGTGGGCGGGGCAGTGTGGCTGGTGTGTCAGTCACTTGTGCAGGATTTTCTTCACAGATGGTGCATTGTCACCGCTTTGTGTGTGTCTCAAAGCTGAAGTGGAAGATTGCCTCCTAGTGTGAGACTCCCACATGGACCAACCATGGTTCAAGTCCTGGACCTGGTGGCCTCAAAATCATGTCAGGCAAACGTGCGTGCATGCCCAAGGTACCAGGAGGAGAATGCAGAAGGGATTGTGGCAGGGCCATCCCCCCTGGGGAGTGATATCTCACTGTCTCTTTGGTGATTTGTATGCACCCTAAGGCAAAAACCTCTAGGAAAAAAAACTTTATATCGGGGACCAGCGGGTGGCATGGTGGTTAAGGCGCTGGACACTCCCACATGGCCGACCATGGTTTGAGTCTCGGTCTTGTGGCTTCCTTTCTCACTTTCCCTCTGTGTCTATCTCTGGTCAAATTAAAATAAATGAATGAATAAATAAAATTAATGAATGCATAAATAAAATTAAATAATTTAACAACTTTATAAAGTTTTTTTTCTTGTTCAAAGTAGAGATTTTTTGCTTTAGAGTGTGTGCGCTCACTGGAGAGATGGAGAGAGACAGAAAGTGAGAAATCATCCCCTCGGGTCCAGGACTTGAACCATGGTTGACTGTGGGAGTCCAGCAACGTAACCATTACACCATCTGCTGGTCCCCAAGTTTATTTTTTCCTTGAAAAAGAGAGAGATTGGCACCAACAGTGTCCCCCTGCATGATCCTCCTCACCCCAGCCAGCCCTGGTCATGGGCATATGGACATACCCCTGGTGTATAGAGAGGCTTGGGATGTGTACTGAGGACTCTCACAGGGGTCTGGTTGTGTTACTGCTGCTTTACCATCTAGTCCCTGATCTCTATTATTATAAGTGAGAAAACAGGCTCAGAGGGCTCAAGGTCACTCCATTAGTTAATGGGAGTGGGAATCTGAGTCCAGGCAGTCTGACCTGACTATAGCATGTACTTAAAGTTAGCAAGAAGTAATAAGAACAGGAAACAAGTATATTTAAAAGATGATGTGGGCCAATATGCAGTGTGGTATGTAAGACACTGGATCCCCTGTGGCTGACTGGTTGCAGTTCAGACCTGGTGGCTTGAAAAACACTGAGAGCTCATGTGTGTGCATGTCCAAAATTCTGAGGTGGAATGGAGGAGAAGGGATTGCAGTATGGCCATCCCCCCAGGGGGTGATTTCACTTTCCCTCTTTTTCTCTGGTGACCACACACCCCTTATAGCAAAAAATAAAAAGTAACCAGAAGTATACTGTTGTATTATAGAAAGCCTGTTTATGTATTTACAGAAAAAAATGTTCTCCCCTCCCCAACTTAAATTTATTTATTTTTAATGAGAGTGAAAGACAAGTAACCCCAACAGAACCCCATGCTTCAATCCCCTAGTCTTCCCAGCCGTGTGTGCACAGCATGGACAGGATGACAGGAACTGAACCTGGAATCTCACTGATAACATTGCTTCAGCAGCATGTTGCCCCTGCACCACTGAGTCAGCCCTTTTCCTTAAGTGCTGATAGGTGTTCGTTAAACTCTTGAGGGGGGGCAGCAGGTGGCAGGTGGATAAGGCGCTAGACTCCCTCATGGTCGGCCAGGTTTGAGTCTGTACCTGGCCGCTTGAAAAGCATGCCAGGAGCATGCGCGTGCGTGCCCAAAATCCCAAGAGAAGGGATTGGTGCTTGGCCATCTCCGCTGGGGTGGCTTCTCCGGCCGGCATTCCCTCCCCCGCCCCTCTGGTGAAATTAAAAATAAGTAAATAAAGTTAAGCAAAATAATTCTTTAGAAAACAAAAACTAAGACTAAAAATTTGTTCAGGAATTTTGTGGGACACATTCCGAGATCCCGAGGGGTCCTTGCTGTCTACATTTACCTTCATCGGTGTTGGAAGGTGAAACTGGCCTTGGAATCACCCTTTGTAAACTCCCACCTCTGAGCGATCCGCACACCTTGTAACCTTAGCTCTTCTTACCAGCCTGCAAGTCTCAGCACTCCCCCGACATTCCCTGACCCGGTGGGGAGCCATGTATTCCGGGAGCACTTAGCCCAAAACTCCCAGACATCACCTCATAGCTATGCTTGCAGAAAAGCAAGAGCGGGAAGGCCATCTGGTCCAGTCCCCCATTGAAAGTGCATAAACCTATCCAGGAAGATGAAGGTGATGTGTTTCGTTCGTCCAATCCTGAGTGCCAGGGCTGGCGTTCGTCTCCTTCGTCTCTGCAGGGTCACGCCGGGCGGAGTAGGAACAATTCCATACATACATCTGTCACCTGATGAGTGTCCACGGCCAAGCACAGCCCGCTGCAGTGGTCGGGCTGCATTGGCCGCGGTGGAGGGAACAAAACTGAGGTCGGGACACTCTTAGGCCTGACAAGGGCCAGGACTAGTATACAGGTTTCCTCGTTCTAGGATTCGGCATCTAGACCATCCACAAATGTCAAGTCGAACGCTTCTTTTATACGGCGCTGATTGGCAGGTGGCCAATGGACTTCCCTGTAGCTGGCCAGGAGATAGAGGCGGGTGGGCTGCTAGTCCAGAGTTTGCGGCCAAGAGTCCGGCTCAGCCTCGGCTGATGGGTTCAGTCCTAGCACAGCGTTTCTGAACCTGGACATCAGCCAGCAGCCGCGGAGCATGCTCCATAGCGCCGAGAGGGCTAACCACGCCCCGCCGGTTGCGAGCCTGAGCGCGCATGCGCAGTGTGGGTGTGGGCGTGGCAGCGCATTCGCGCCTCCAGAGGCTGGCGTAGGGCCGTCGGGGCGGCTATTTCAAATTCAGTGGCATCCCGACCCGATCCGTGGTCTGGTGGGCCTTTGCGAAGCGGTCTTGCTGGCGCAGAGGGTGAGCTTGGTGCGGCGAGGTGACAGAGCTAAGGACTAGGGGCAGCGAGACCGGGAAGGGCAGATCCGGTGGAAGCGCAAATGAGGGGGCTGTGCGCTCGTGGGACCTCCCCTCTGCTAGCGGGCGGGGCAGGCCGGGAGCCGGAGGCTGCCTGGGAACCGGTGGGGCGGGGCCGTCGCGTGACTGACGGGGGAGGAGCCAATGCTTTGGGAAAGGGCCGGCCAGTGACAGCGCTGAGACCGCCGAGGGTCGCTAACACGTGTTGGGGCGTAAGTTTGGTCTGAAAGAGCTCAGCGCTTTCAGTACAATTTGTAGTGGTTACTACATTGAGCGTGTGCACCTGTTAGACACCTGCAGAGGCCCAGAGATACTTCAGCAAGGATATCAACAAATTAGGATCCCAAACCAGGCAATTTGGCCTCAGAACTCATGCTTTTCCCTCCGGCCCCTTTAGGGTGGTAACCAAGGCGGACTGAGTTCAGTAAGGAGGTGGACCAGGACGATTGCACTCGACGGAAGTGCCGTCAGAGGAGAAGTAAATACTGCACGCTGTGGCCTTCCCAGGATGGAGGTGGAAGGGGTAGCGGTCACCCCCACGGGCTGGGAGCATTGTAGTTGCAGCAGAGGCTGCCCTGGGGTCGCAGCAGTTGCAGAGACACTTCTCTTAGCTGGGTGTTTTCTAGGTGTGTGAGGCTAAAGCCTTTTAGAAGCGCAATAACAGTGGTAAAGTACTTAGTTGCCTTGGTCTTCTGGGTAAAACACCAACGCGGGCTTAGACAATGGATATTTATCGTTTTTTCTTTTTTTTAGAGAGATTTTTGCTCTAGGGCGTGTACACTCGCTGGAGAAATAGAAACAGAAAACTAGATGTCACTCCCATAGGGGAGATAGCCACACTGCAATCCCTTCTCCATTCTCTCCGGATTTGGGGTGCACACAGACACACACCCGACCTGAGTTTTAAGCCGCTGGGTCCAGGACTTGAACCGTGGTCGACTATGTGGAAGTCCAGCAACATAACCATTATGCCACCTAATGGTCCCCGTTTATTTTCCCATGCTCTTGGAGTCCGGGAAGCCCCAAATCAGTGTGCAGCAGATTTGATTTCTGGTGAGGGCCCTTTCTGCCTGTGGAGGCCACTTTGTCACTGTGCCCTCACCTGGTGGAGAGAGAGAGCTCTCCTTGTGAAGCTACTAGTCCTTTGGGATTAGGATTTCCTAATGACTCTCTTAACCTTGACTGCCTCCTAAATGTCTTATTTCCAAGGACAGTTACACTGGGGATGAGGCCTTGAACTTGAGGAGGAGCTATATGGGGAGCTATCAGTAGCCATATGCGGGGGGCATGGCTGGCCATATAGGGCGGGGTATAGGGGGTGCTTAGGTGCCCATATAGGGGAACTGTGGGAGGGTCGTATGGAGGGGTTGTAGAGGGACGTTGAGTCCATACCGATAGCTTATACTGAGTATAAGCCCTGACAATTGAGGACTGAAGAAAGAGACTACTTCTCAAAATAATCTGCACCTGAAGCGCTTTCACACCCCTCACCTGGCTTCATGAGTGGCAGGTTTGCGTGCTGGTGCATCTTAGCACTGGTCAGGGATTCTAGGGAGAACTGGTGAGGTCTTAATTGTCCTCCACTAGCCAACCCGGAGAGGTCCGAAAGTCACCAACTGTCCTTGATAGCGCTTCGCGCGTCTCTTATTCTAGGTCTGCCCAGACCCGTCTAACTGTGCTGCTTCTGGAAAAATGAGGTCTGTTACTGCCACTCAGGGCAGTGAGGTGATGACCGCTTCGTTCTGGGTTTGCTCTCCCTCGAGAGTTCAGTGACTAGCTATTTACCCTCCTTACCCCTGTGGGGGAAGGGTGATGAATTACAGAGCTCATGGCTGGGGTTGCGGGTCCAAATCCTGAGTTTGGTCCATTGTTCAGTCTGCTGAGTGACCTTTTCCTGGGTCTCAGTTTCTTCATCTATAAATTAGAGCTAATAAAAACGCTGCCCACATAGTCTTGTTTATAAAAGCAGTTTGGAACCATTAAAGGACTGGGCCTTGGACGAGGTGTTCAAGCCACGGGACCTCCTCTCCCCGTGCCTCTGAGGAACAAACACCCACAGCCCGTGGCCAGCGGCCGCGCATTCCTCCATTGCAGTTTACTGGATGCCGGGAGGTACAGAGCACCCAGTTCTGGATCCTGGGCGCAGGGGAGAATGAGGTAGACTAGGAGCCTCTTCTCATAGCCTGTGCTCTAGTTAGGAGAACAGGAAATAGAGAATGTGCAGATAGTGCTAGAGCCATGAAATAGGTAAATCCAGTAACTTCTAGGCAAAAGGGTCACTTCACTGGGAGAGGTATAGGGATAGCTTTCGGTAGCTGTATAGGGGGATGCTTAGGTGCCCATATGGGGGAGCTAAACCTCTCCCTATATGGCCAGCCATGGCTCCCCCTGCATGGGTACCTATAGCTCCCCATATAGCTCCTCAAGTTCAAGAAGGCCTCATCCTTGGTGTGAAAAGAAGGTTACTGAAACAATGTCCTGTGGTTTCTATAGGTTAGCAGGGGGCTGTGGAGTGTTTAATGCATACAAAGTGCTCAGAATTTGCTAGGGACCTTTCCTTTATCCTTAAAGGCCCAGCTGTGGTGGTGCAGGTGGTGGGGCCCCACTGTGTGATACTGGAACTACAGGAAGGTCTCTGGGTCAGATTCTGGGTTGACCTGAATGTGATCCCAGCTAGCTGGAAGGATGGGGGTGGTCATCCTTGGTATGAGGTTACCTGTCAAGGTACCAGTCTGTCTTTTTCTTTGGAAAGAAACAAAGTAGACTTTAAAAGAAGTTGTAGGGCCAGAAGGTGGTATAGTGGTTTAGGCGCTGGTCTCCCACATGGCTGACTATGGTTTGAGTCCTGGATCCAACAGCTTGAAAATCATGCTGGTGTGTACGCATGTGTGCCCAAAATCCTAGGAGCAGAATGGATTTGTATTGGGCCAGCAGGTGGTGAGGAGGTTAAGGAGGCTGGATGCTGCATAGCCAGCTCTGCAGTTCAAGTCCCGGAACTGGCTTGACAATCATGCCAGATGGGCTTGCATGTGTGCCTAAAATTCTGAGAGGAGAATGGAGAGGGGATTGCAGTGTGGCCATCCTCTCTTGGGGGTGATAGCACACTTTCCCTCTCACTATATCTCTCCAGTGAGTGCACATGCTCTGCGGCAGAAACTTTTAAAAAGAAAATGGTTGTATTTATTTCTTTTACATGTGAGGGAGAGTGAACATCAGGTACCTTTGGCAGTCTTCAACTAGCTAGGATTGCAGGTATGCATGAGTCCATGTGAGTGGGTCCAGCATGTTCCAGTCAGCCCCAATCCAAACCCAGCCCCGCACAAGGCTCCCATGTTGCACAGCAGCGCCACCTCTTACCCCTGCAGCTGGGACTCCTTTATGTGTCAGCATTTGGATTATACCTCCCTCTCCGCATAGTCCTACTAGCTGTGAGGCCCCTTCTTACAGGAACCCCCATCTCTGTAGTTTTAATGGCCTCTGAACTGGAACTAGAAGAACATCTTAGCACCTACAGATGGGTTGACACTGCGCTTGGTCTTTTTTATTTTTGGAGAGGTTTATGCTATAGGGTGCATGCACTCTCCAGAAAGACAGAGACAAAGAGACAGAAAGTAAGAAATCACCCCCTAGGGGGATGGCCACGCCACAATCACTTCTCTTCCATTCTCCTCTTGGGATCTTGGGCATGCACGCACATGCGCCTGGCGTGAGTTTAAGCGACCAGGTCTGGGACTCAAACCACAGTTGACTATGTGGGAGTCCAGTGACAAAGCCATTTTGTCAACTGCTAGTCCCGCGCTTGGTCTTATTGAGGCCAGTGCAGCGGAGATGGGACTTAGATTTATTATAGTAATCAAATGGCTCTTAGGCTCATTGTTATTCTTTTTTTAAATGTCTTTTTTTCAAACAAAATTTTTAGACTCATTATTATTTGTACTTAGAAGAGATAAACCTGCCAAATAACTTGGAGAAGTGACCTCCAAACAGAGGCGTGGGAACCGGGAGGGAAGAGTCGGCCGTCTGAGTAGTGAAGGGGCAAAGAAAGTGAAAAATAAGCACGGAGCTGAGACTTTGTTCTTGGACGTTGACCTGGTGGGGAGGAGAAATGCTAAGGTCTGGGTGTTGGGGAGCTTTCCCATGAGAGCACAGTGGCTGTAGATAGAGTTCTGCCAGCCTGGAGCCAAATGGGAAGCACATCTTTTTTTATTTTTTATTTTTTATTTTTTTGCTGTAGGGCATGTACACTTGCCAGAGAAGGACGGCGAGAGGGAAAGTGAGGAATCACCCTTGGGGGGGTGGTCATGACATAGTTCTTTCTCTCAGGACATACATGCAACCCAGTGTGATTTTCAAAGCACCAGGTCCTGGACTTGAACCATAGTTAGCCACGTGGGAATCCAGCACCTTACTACACCACCTGCTGGCCTCGGATAGTGCTTATTTCTTGAGGCCAGAAAAATGACGAGGCAGCTCTGGTTTGTACTGGAGACAGAGGCTAGAGTGAAGCAAACTGCAGAGATCTGTGAAATACACATGCGTGTGAACATGTGCCCTGCACTCAGCTGTGATCGGCATTCTCGCCCGTGTGCTGTGACTTTGCGGGTCTTCACGACAGGAGACACGAGCAGCTTGGGTGTGGAAAGTTTCTGTCGCGGGGACAGGAGAACTCCCCACCAGGCCTGAGAGGCAGCAGCCTTGATCCTGGGCACACGTGTAACAGAAGAAAGCCGAGCCTTTTGCAGAGGCTTTAGAAAGGTACCCAAGGGCAGCGGGCTGGCAGGGAGATTGGGTTTATGGGTTTTTCTAGACTACATTTTGCAGTAGGTTTTTTTTTTTCTTTTTTTGCTATAGGGTGCATGTGCTCTCCAGAGAGAGACAAATACAGATAAAGAGAGGAAAAGTAAGAAATTACCCCCCAAAGGGGAAGGCAGTGCTGCAATTCCATCTTTGTTCTCCTCTGGGGCTTTTGGACATGCCACATGCACGAGCCCAGTGTATTTTTTAAGCTGCCGGTTCCGGGTCTCAATCTGCAAAATTGGCCATGTGGAGTCCAGCACCTCAGCCACTGTGCCACCTGCTGGCCCTACTGTAGCTATTTCTGATCTTATTGCTAGATGGGATTGAGATTCTGGTCCGGCCTCCTGTGGATTTGCAAAAGAGAGGCTGTGGTCTCTGCTTCCAAAATTAAACGAAAACGCTTCAACCTGAGGAGAAATTCTGTAATGAGAATGGGAATTGGTTCTTGGGTCTCTTTCTAGATTTCAAGCCACCTCTCCTGGCTCATGAGAGAGCTCCCAGACGGATTTATTTTTTTCTCCTAGGACCATGGCTAATAACACGCAGGAGGCTGGTGGCATCCACTTCCCTTTTCCCTTCACTCCCTACTCCATCCAGAAAGACTTCATGGCAACGCTGTACCAGGTGTTGGAGGCTGGCAAGATTGGGATATTTGAGAGTCCAACTGGCACTGTGAGTATGAACGGCGAGAGACCACTAGGGGCAGCCTCACTTGCTTTTACCATTTCCCTGTGCAGAGTGGTTCCTGGTCTGAGGTTGAGCAAAGTACACTTGGTCTCTGTCTCTGAGTAGCAGTCTCTTCTCTGTTTGGTTGTGAAGTATGGCCCCAGGGTCTGAGAAAACCTAGACTCCAGGCCAGGGAACCTGAAGGCCAGTGGGAGCCATGGCCCCCATTGTGCTGAAACTTCCCAGGTTTTTCGGGGCATGTGACTGCTTTGATGTCAAGAAGCATAGGGGTTACTTCGACTTTTTCACAAATTCAACATACTGTTTTAGTCCCCCAAAACTATTGGGTTGTCAGAAAAGTCATGACATATTTTTCTATGCAAAAATGCATCGTAACTTTTGTCACAACTCAGTAGGTTACTGAGTGATGGAGGGATCCAGTCAAGGGCCTCTAAATTTTTCCTTCCTGACTGAGAAGGAGGGGGGGACTTATTAAAAGTTGACCATCAAAGGTAAGAAGGGCTGTAGTAAGTGGTCCCAGCTTCTCCTGTACTTTTTTTTTTTTTGCTATA